CATCCCCTCAGTGATCGTATTATTCTTTATTATTCCTGCCATTCCTCTGACGTCACTCAGTTATAGACAAGCATTCAAGATCAGTACGTCTTGACCGCAGCGACCGCCCTCTAAGCAAGATGTCGAACTCAGTTATGATAGCCACCCAGTTGACCCGCCTGCTAACTGCTCTCATCGTTTCTGAAACGGCATGACAACAGTGTTTGAATGAGACTGCGCATTCCTGCTTCCTACAAGGCCTCCGTGAACTCTCTCAGCGCATTGCTCGGACCATAACTACGCTGGGAATGATCTTACGTGTAAATTCTTTTCTCTTATAGCATTCCTGACGGCATGTCAAGAAGCACAACAGAAACATCCAAGAGTAAAAAGGGCAGACTCATCTTTCATTCAGCTGCTGAATTTGGTGAGGTGCTACGCTGCGATATCTGCGCTCATACTTTATGGCAGCGTCCACCAGCGACCAATAGCGTCCACCAGCGTTCCGAGCGTCCGGCAGCGTCAGCGACTAGGAAAGTATAGATATCGATCTAGCGTCTGCCAGCGTCTGCCAGCGTCTACCAGCGTCTGCCAGAGGCTGGCAGCGTCCGGGAGTAGAGAGTACGGGGCGACAGGTGGGTAGCAGATAGCTCAACTGTCTGTTACCCTCCTATCTCTCCATACTTACCAGCTGTCTGCTACCTTCCCATCGCGCCATGCTCTCTACCAGCAGCCTGCTACCCTCCTATCTCCCCATACTCTACCAGCTGTCTGCTACCCTCCTATCGCCCATACCCTCCACTCCTAAACGCTGATGGCCGCTTGTAGTAGGCCGGCAGACGCTGGCAGGTTGTAGATCGAACCTATACTTTCCTAGCCCTCGAAACGCTGCTGGTCGCTGTCGAACGTTGGCAGACGCTGGTGAACGCCGCCGCAAAGCATGAAAGCAGCCTTACTTAGTACAATTAAAACAACTTGTTTTGCATGAATGACAAGTAAACAAATGTTATTGAAGGTCATCATTGTGGTAAGGCATTTGGTAATTTCTCGGTGAAAGCAGCTATGAGTTTCCCACGCGCGTTTATGGGACTTTTCCTTTTCGATGAGCCAACAACTCGCACATGATACTGGAAGAGTTGCCATCACGCTGCTACACTCGAAATCCCTGTGATGCGGTAGGTATGGTTGCGTACTCGATTGAAAGCGGTGCTGCGGGGATTTTTGAAGGAGATGTTTTCGTTCTGACACAGTTGTGGTCATAAAAATCTTTTTCAACTCAGAACAAGATAATATTTCCAATGCCACGCCTACTCCGTGTCAGGGATGAGGAGTGCATATAGCATGTTCTGAATTCGTGAGGCACATCAATCATAAGCGTGACTGCGTAGGGTTGATTTGGTCGCAACCAGTCGAGGCTGTGTTAGGATGCGTGGAGTGACTCC